ACAGGGTGAGGGCCAAGTTCCAATCCCAACGCGGCGCCTTCTCCTTCAAACCACCTCCCCCACACCTGTTTCTGAAAGTTCGACCACCTCCCTGACTCCCTGTGGAGGCTGCTGATTCCCAGGACCACAGACGCTGGGCATCTCGGGCTGGCTCTGCCTTCCTCCCAGTGGCACCCCCCTGCAACTCTCCCTTGCTTCCCCAGGCAGCCTGCGCTCACTCTTGACACGATCATGCCCACACGCTGCCCTTTCTCCACTCTTGGCTTAACATCATCTTGACCCCCTTCCCTCAGCTCCTGCTGCGTTTCTCTACCTCTCACCCCTACTTATCTACGCTTGCTGTCTACACTTGTTTCCTTCATCTCCCTTGAAACCCTCCAATCATGCCACTCACTGTCCCCTCATGGTCAACAGTGACACTGCCTGGATCAGCCCAGCAGTACTCAACCAGTGGATCCTTCCCTTGGCCTCTTGGCCGCTGCCCTCAACTAGTTCTCCGCCAGCCCCAGGGCTGCTGCTTCTCTCCGACTTCCTTAAGAAAGGAGAGTCAGCCCGGGCACAAGCCTGTATTCTCTGTTTAAAAGCACCCCCCGCCGGGCATAGTGGCTCACACCTGTAATTTCTGCACTTTGGGAAGCCGAGGTGGGAGGACTGCTTGAGCTTAGAAGTTCAAGACCAGCCTAGGTAACATACCAAGACTCTGTCTCCGTAAAAATTAGCCAGGTGTGGCAACATGTACACCTGTAGTTGCAGCTACTCGGGAGGCTTAGGTAGGAGGATTGTTTGAGGCCAGGAGTTTGAGGCTGCAGCAAACTATGATTGCATCACTGCACTACAGTCTGAACCACAGAGTGAGACTATGTCTTAAAAAATATACACAAAATAGGCCAGGCTCTGTGGGTCAGCCTGTAATTCCAGCACTTTGGGAGGCCAAGGCGAGTGGATTGCCTGAGTCCATGGGTTTGAAACCAGCCCGGGGAACTTGGCAAGACTTCATCTCTACAATAAAATAAAATTTAAAAATTAGTTGGGCATGGTAGGATATGCCTGTAGTTTGGGCTACTTGGAAGGCTGAGGTGGAAGGATCTCTGGATCCCAGCTGGCTGATGCTGGGGTGGCTGTGAGTGTGCCATATATAAATAGGCCAGGTGGAGTGGCTCACGTCTGGAATCCTAGCACTTTGGGAGGCAGAGGTGAAAGGATTGCCTGAGCTCAGGGGTTTGAGACCAGCCTGAGCAACATGGCGAGACCTTGTCTCTACAATAAATCAAAAAATTAGCTGGGCATGGTGGTACATGCTTATAGTTCCAGCTATTTGGAAGGCTGAGGTGGAAGGATCACCTAAGCCTAGCAGGTCGAGGCTGCCACCTAAGCCTAAGCCTAGCAGGTCGAGGCTGCATTTTAGCCTGGGTGACAGAGTGAGACTCCGAAAGAGTGAGACTCCGAGTCAAAAAATTATAACAACAAAAATATATACATATAAAATAAAGTAAAAATAAAAGCATTCCCTTAGCAATTTTGACCACTACATCACCTGGACCGTGGCACTCCCCCAAATTCAGAGCTCCAGCTTGGTCTTCTCCCGTGACATCACACAGCCCCAGCTCCTCCCCAAGGCTTCACAGGCACAAGGCTTCACAGGCATCTCGCATGCAAGCTGTCATCTTGCCCCCCAAATGCCCCTTTTCAGTCATAAGAACCTACAGCCTCACAGGCCCAAACCTTGGGGCTATCAATCAGATCCATATTCAGCAGCAAATCAGGATGGCACTAAGGTCAACGACCTGTCTCCATGACCCCAGTTCTCATCTGGCTCAACTGGAAACATGCGGTCAACTCCTTCCTGGTCTCCCAGCTTCTGCCCTCACCCCTATGGAGTTAATGTCACTATTAGATGACTGTTGCCACGACTAAACTGTCTAGGACCCATCAACAACCTTGAGAACTGTCAACTTTTGGCCAACCTTGTCAAACCCATGCCCCACCCATTCTTCTCACACACATACACACTGCAGAGCACTTCTTTTAAAATATAAGCCAGGTCAGGTGCAGTGACACGTACCTTGTAGTCCCAGCACTCTGGGAGAAGGTGAAAGAATACCTGAGTACAGGGGCTGGAGACCAGCCTGGACAACATACAGAGACCCTGTCTGAAAAATAAATAGGCTGGGCACAGTGGCTCAGGCCTGTAATCCCAGCATTTTGGGAAGTGAACACAGAGAGATTGCTTGAGCCCAGGAGTTCAAGACCAGCCTAGTCAACAGAACCAGACCACGGTCTCTACAAAAAAGTCAAAAAGGTAGCTGAGTGAGGTGGTGTATGTCTGTAGTCCCAACTACTAAAGAGGCTAAGGCAGAAGGATCACCTGTGCCCAGGAGGTTGAGGCTGTGCTGAGCCATGATCATGCCACTGCACTCCAGCCTGGGCAACAGAGTGAGACCCCAACTCAATAAATAAATAAATAGGAAAATATGCCAGGCGTGGTGGCTCACTCCTGAATTGCCTGAGTCCAGGGGTCCGAGACCAGCCTGGGCAACTTGATGAGACCTCATCTCTACAATAAATAAAAAAATTAGCCCAGGCTTGGTGGCACATGCCTATGGTTCCAGCTACTTGGAAGGCTGAGATGGAAGGATCACCTGAGCCCTGCAGGTGGAGGCTGCAGTGGCCGTGAGTGTGCCACTGCATTCAAGCCTGAGTAACAGTGTGAGATTCCAACTCAAAAAAAAAAAGAAAGAAAAGAAAAAAAAGGAAATATAAGCCAGATCATGCCACTGCTCTGTTCAAAATCCTGCACTTAGGAAGCTCCCACCTCACTGGAAGGAAAAACCAGATCCTCTCCACAGCTCACAAAGCACTGTATGACTTGCCCTGTCACCTCTCTATACTCTTCTGTCTCCCCTTCACTCGTTATGCTCCAGCCACATGGGCCTTTTTGCTGTCTGGCACATATCAAACAGGACAAAACCCTGCCTCACGGCCTTTGCACTTGCTTTTCCTGTGGCCTCAACACTCCCAGTATCTACACAGGTCCCCATAGGATCCCTCAGATCTTTACTCAGATGTCATCCATGTGACCCACCTTGAAACCCTATCTAAACCTCCAACTCACACTCCTGATTCCTCCTTCCCTGTTTCACTCTTGTTCTTTTCATGGCCCCTATCCCTCTCTCACGTACAATTTACTTATATTTCTTGCCTGCAGTAGACCAGCCTTTGAACAAGCCATCTCCTCTGCCCACTTGTATGTCAAATTCATGTGGCGCGAATCTTTGTGCTTCCAGCATTTCCGGTCTCACTCTCAGGCCTAGGTATCAGCCCACCACCCCAGGGAGTGGGTGGGCACCATGCAGCAGGACCTAGTTGGTCCTTGACCCTAAGAATCTCCCCGCAGAAAAACATGTGCACTGGTGAGAGTGCACCTATTTCCTTGCAAAGGCACCTATCCAGAGTATTCACCAGGTGCAAGCCTATGCTCTGCGTATTTTAGTGCACTTAATTGCCCCATCAACCTAGAAGGAGGAAGAAGAAAACATCATCTGCTGCTCCTAAAAACGGAGACTGTGCCTCGCACAGTGGCTCACGCCTGTAATCCCAGCACTTTGGGAGGCCGAGGTGAGACGATTGCTTGAGCTCAGGGGTTCAAGAGCAGTCTTAAGCAACATGGCGAGACCTTGTCTCTACAATAAATCATACAATTAGCCAGGCATGGTGGCACATGCCTGTAGTTCCAGATACTTGGAAGGCTGAGGCTGAAGGATCGTCTGAGCCCAGAAGGCCGAGGCTGCCGTGGCCGTGAGCTTGCCACTGCCCTCCAGTCTGGGCAACAGAGACTGACTCAAGAAAAAAAAAAGAAACTGAGATTTTGTAAAGAAAAGTCTCCGCCCCTCCACTTGGCCAGCTAACGCTTCACCTGTCTTTCCTGGGCTGAGTTGGTTCCGGGGAACCAGGAGGTTTAAGGGAGCTGGTCCAGATTGTGGGGTGTCCCTTGGGTGTGTGGGGCCGGGGTGGTAGGAATGGGGTCATACGCAGTTCCAGGTGAGGCACGAGAACTTCATGTAGGGCAGGGCTGGATGCTCCAGGGCGTCCGGCCACAATCCTAGGCCACGTGATGGTTTTGGGGTGAGAACTATGAGGGGGCGGGCTGCCCCTCGAAGGACTGGGTGCTCATGGATCTGGAGGCGGGGCCAGTCCTAGGATTGGGCCGCCAGAGCTCCAGCGGGCGGGGCCAAGAGCCCCGAAAGCGGGCGGAGAGGCTGGGCGAATCCCTAGATCGGGCGGTTGGAGCGCAGGGAGGCGGGGCCACGAGCCAGGCGCGTCCAGGCCCGGCCGCCGGGCTCCTGGGCGGGGCTCACACGTGCCGGGGGCGGGCCCTCGAAGCGGAGGGGGCGGGGCCGGGCTCGGCG